GAAGTTTATACTGAAGCAGGAAGTTTATACTGCAGCAGGAAGTTTATGCTGCAGCAGGAAGGGCTGCACAAAGCTGCAAGAGGAAGCTTTTTCTGCTGCTCTGGGCTGCATAAATGTGCAGCAGGTGCTAAATAATTTAAAATTATCTATTTTAAATAAAACTTTCATGCCGATCGTGCAGCTCATCCATCAATCAGCAAATGGTGTGTCATGTACACTCTTATTAAAAAAAAAAAAAAAAAAAAACGCGATAGAGCGAATCCGTGATAAACGAACCGTGAAGTAGCGAGGGACTACTGTAAAACTATGCCTCTGACAACTCTAGCTAAAACTGGTGGCATGGTCAAGAATCAAAGGTCAAGAAAAGGAATTTGAGAAATCTTTTTTTAATGCAAGTTAAGATGTTCTATAATTCAATTGAGTTTGTTTATATGGTGCAAAAATTACAACAAAGGTCCTCTCAGGGCACCAACATTCACCAACTTAAGCCAATTAGTAAAAGTTATCTATTTAAGGGAGGAATCCAGCAGATACGTTGAATCTTAACTTCATCACAGTCTCCCATCCTGAGCAAGCACAAAGGCAACAGTGGAAAGGAAAAACTCCCTTTTAACAGGAAGAAACATCCAGCAGAACCAGGCTCAGGTCTATAATTTAAGTATGGAACAGAATTGGTATCAAAATGCTCAATCCAAAAGCCTGTGCTGAGACAAAGAGCAGATTTATGGAAAACCAACTTAACGTGACAGCTTTGTCCAGCGTGGCTGTCTTTCACACTGTCATTCCTCAACAGAGCTCCACAAAAATTACAGCTAGAATCAAAACACATCAGATTTGCTTACGCAGGTTGCATAAACAAAGTCATCATTTACTCCTGACATTTGAGGAACTAGTGACTCATTGATACAGTTTGATCTTTTTAGGGAAATATCACAACAGGAACGTCTGCTGCATCAGAACGTTACACAATCAATGTGCCGTTTGTTTCTGCTAACATTGATCATACACCCACGTGGCAGAACTATGACAAACTTTTAATTGCTCAAAGACAGTCATAAAGGTTTTGGTCAGATCTTGAACCTAAATCAGGTTCTGGGCCGTTCCAGTCCAATTAAATTAATAAAAGAAAACTAGAATAATTTGGTTTGGGAGTGGTGGCGCAGAGGTTAGAAGATGGGCTTGTGATCGGAAAGTCGCAGGTTCACCTCCCGGTACCGTCAACATCAAAATGTGGGTGGAAAGGGTGAAACACCCACACCTCCCTCCACCCTAGGCCCCTGAGCAAGGCCCTTGACCCCCATCATCTGCTCCCTAAACAGGTCTCTCTTGAAAATGAGTTCTCGTGGCTCAATGAAACTACCTGTCTAAATAAAGAGTAAATCCAAAAATGAAAAAAAAAAAGGTTTAGATTTAGTTTGAGTTCTGGTCAGATTTGGACATCTGTGTTTCAGTTTAA